TTATGTGAGTCACATGAGATTCGAGATACGCTTTGATCCGCCGCCAAGTATCGATATCTTCCCACATCAGACTTTCCCGTTAGGAAATCCATTCTCCCATGAGCCATCCAAGCAGATGACCCTGACACCTTCCTTGGGTATGAGCACGGGTTTCTCCCCGGAGAATGAACTTCCAGTCTGGCCGTGACCATCACCAGAGACGGAGACTCTGGGGTTCCCCTGTCAGGACTTCTAGTCCTCAGAGACCACCCCAGTGACGAAGAGTTTGGGATTCCCCTGTCAGGACTTCTAGTCCTCGGGGACTTCCAGTCTGGCCGTGACCGCCACCAGTGTCAAAGTTCGAGACGGGGGTTCTAGAAGAACCTTCAACGGTATCAGCGGATAATCGGGGATAAACATCCGTTTTCCTCCCACTCGGGTTTCGCCTCTCGTTTTTTTTTCCTTCTCTTGTCTTCTCTTCACCTCCCAACACACACTCCCCACCCATCATATTGTGCGTTGTAATCTTCTGCTCCGACTTTATTGATCTATCAGCCGAGAGGATTGTTTCGAGTCCGACTCGGGGCCCCGTTTGTCGATAGCTTTCATCGTTCGTTACGAATCCGTCTCGTACCAGAATCTCTTTCAATCGATCCTCCTATCTCCTTCCAGGTAAACCACCGAGACTTCCGCCGGTACGCAGATATCGATCGTTGATTGTCTTTTCGGGGAGAGACTATCTACATATCGATTTCTCGATTCATTGATCGGCGTGGCCCTTCACCTATCGATCGTATCGATCGGTGTCTAACTTCCAATGGGAGATGAACGGCGGTCGGTTTGATTTCGATGATGGGGGCACGTACGTGGGAGGCTGGGAGGAGGGGAAGGTGAGTGTTCAAATTTGACTTCACTTAGTCGACGTCGTCTGAATAGGCCATTCTGATTCCAGGCTCACGGCCACGGTGTGTGTTCTGGTCCTCAAGGAAAAGGCGAATATGCGGGCGCTTGGCACTACGGTTTCGAGGTAAGGGACCACCTAATTTTTGAGGATGATTTCATGATTCAAATGGTTTTTGCAGGTGTCCGGAGCCTACTATTGGCCCTCCGGGAACACATATCATGGCCAATGGCAAAACGGGAAGCGACATGGACTAGGTGTAGAACAACGGGGGCGATGGACCTACAAGTAAGAGATTTTGGGGGCCCGACAGGAGGCCCGTCGCGCGGCAAGAAGGCAGAGTCAGCGGACGAGTCGCAGCGCGTACTGTAGATTTCGCGTCAAGTTAAATAGAATGTACCATTGTACGTCCTACATCGCACATCACGCGCTGCGACTCGTCCGCTGACTCTGCCTTCTTGCCGCGCGACGGGCCTCCTGTCGGGTACCCAGACATTTGCCCAGAATCTTTTCAGTTAGGCTTATTTTTTTCAGAGGAGAATGGACGCAGGGTCAGAAGGGACGGTACGGGGTACGAAATTCGGCCACCTCCCAAGCAGATACAAGGCAACGTGGTCAGGCGATAACCAGACGGCTTACGGGCAACGGGGAGATCTACGTGGATGGTGGTAAGTACCCCAGCTTGTCTTCTCCTCTTCAACTGCTGCATGTGCTGCTGTTCTGTTCATGACTGACTGACTGACTGATTGTGAAGTGTCTTCATGAGCGCGCCCATACATCCGGGGGACAGTTGTCCCGATGGTGTATGCTGTCAGTTAGTTGTGGCGTTCGTTGAGTAATAGACCTTGGACAAATCAATCTCCCACCACATCAATGCTAAACGAGTTATAATTTTCGTATCATTCTAGGCGAACTATCAGGGCAATCTGAGTTACGTGGCTTTACGACACGGCTACGGTACTCGACGTAGCGCCACGCATGGCAGGCGGCTAAACTTCGGCCCAAGTCACATACGCATGCCTCCCTGACGAGTTTACGAAGTGGTCGAGGTGACGAGGAGAATGAAGACGACGAAGAAAGTCAGTCCTAATCAGGGTTTCTGGGTCTATTCCAGTAAGGGCATGCGGTTGATAGGGCTAAAGGGGCTTGAAACAACGAACAGCGTATTCTTCTAGTGAAGGGGTTTAGAAATAAGCCTTAGAAGGGAGGAAAAACCATCGGGTTCGTAATCAATCTCCGTTTTTTTTTCGGGGGGACTTCTCTCCCATTTCTTAGCTGTTTAGTCCTAGCTGTTACCTAGATAAATATTATTTTATGTCATATATAAAAAATGAGAAAAAGCAACGTAGTATTAAAGGTTAGCACGCCTCGTAACTTTAAAGTAACCCCTTGACGCCAGCTGGGCAGTTAGAGCAATTGTGCACGCAAAGCCCCTTTACTGGGGATGACCCAACATACTTCTTTTGTGCTCCTCTTGAGAAGTTCTAGGTTATAAGTTATGCGACTAAACTGGTGGTTTTTTCAGAAGAACATCAAAATGGGCGAAGTGGATTTGTATTGAAGGCAAACAGTAATGCACCAGCAAAAGGCGGAGGAGGTAAGAAAACGGGATTTGCCACTTCCATTACATACCAATTTGCCTCCGCCCGTCCACTCCTTTCGAGGGCCGTTGTAGAGGAAAAGCCGTTGTAGAGGAGAAGAGAAAAAAGTAGGAGCAGTTGGAGCGTGTCGATTTTTCAGAATGAAGTATCACAGAGACAGCCCTGATGGCGGGTATGGCGGTGGGGGGGGGAGTGGGTGTCGTGTTCGGGAGCCTCCCAAAATGGATGGTGGTGGGGGTCGCAAAAATTTTCGAAAAGTGCGAACGCGACGGTGGAACTTGGTTCGGAGGCTGATCACTGCAAAAATAGTGAGATGATCCCAACTGAGCTTCTGTTTCCAGTGTGGGAGAGCCGGAATGCTTTGATTTTCGAATCTATTGCGATTTCATTTCGGCTTCCTCTCGTCGCTGGACTGAATTCACAAAGGGTTACTTGAACAAAAGTGCCGATGTGAAAAAGATTCCTTCACGGCAGCCCCTTCTTTGCCTCCCTCATAAGGGCTAAAAGGGGGATGTTTCAAGGCAAACCGGGCTTTTTCAAAACCTGTTAACGAGAACGAATTATGATTTCTGTACATGAATCTCCACAATATGCAAGAAACCTCTTTGAAAAAGCACGGTCTACCCTGAAAGACTCGTTTGTAAGGATCTTCGGTTTCGCGCCAGATCAATTCTCTTCCCCCATTTTGCGTAAGCTCATTTTTTATCGAGTTTTTGAGAAAGGTTACCCAGGAAATGGGATCTTTTGGGTTGGTTCAATGCTACCACGAATACGAATGGAGGTGTGATGCATGGCGCATCCTAATGAATTTGAGCATGAACAATCATCCTTTTATTGCCTGGAGCGGTTCAGAGTGTAGTCTACGATCGATTTTCTTTTAATCTTGGCATTGAAGATTCAGTTTTATAGTTTATTGAAGCCTCTCCAAGGTCGGCTGACGTTTCGGCTTTCATCGCCTTCTTCAGAGCCTGAAAAAGTCGAGAACTTTGAGATCGATCCCTCGAAGCTTCTAACAATCCAAAGACAACTCCAGTAGTCTAGAAAATCCTCCGTTTCAAAGTGACCTACAGTAGCCGTATTACGTATACAACCGTACCAGAGCGGATGGCCCATATGTGTGCAGGAATGGCGCACGCGTGGCCAAAACCAGGAAGTTGGCCGCTATTTGTTTAGGGTTTTCTCGAGGTAGCTGATCTGATAGGTTCGGGCATTGGAAGTACTGCAAGATCGATATAAAAGTTCAGGTCGTATTCAGTTTTTATTACAGGTCGTTATCGGAACGATCACTTGCCGTCAAACGAACGCTCCTATCCGGACTTCGGATAAAGAAGCAGCACTCGACGGGCGACATTCATCAACGAGTCACAAGTACGACCGGTAGGATCTGATAAGCGAGGTTGAACACCACCGTCTAACCCCACATCCTTACGTGTGTGTGTGCGGTGTATGTACGGGCCCAGGAAGAAACCGTCCATGTCAGTAACTGTTCAGCTCCGGACGGAGCCATGGCTGTGTCCGGAACTGTTGTGCTGATCGGATCGGTCTCTTCTGGGCTACTGCCTCGCTAATCGCTTGCTTCTCCTTTCTATGCTTTCTCGTTTTTTTTTTGCAATTTTTCGACTGCACAAATTGATTAGCCAATTTTTGCCGGTGTTTTTAGGAAGCCTTCGATCCAGTGGCAGCACGAATGAGTTGCACTTCTGAAGATTCCCTTCACCATCATCACAAGTCCTACACAAGCGCTGAGGTGAGTATACAGATCTTTGCCGGGAGACGTTCAGTTCTCCTCTCAGGTCAGGTCAGCAGAGCAGCGCCATCATTGAAGCCTGAGGT